CGACACTCGCTCGTCACACGCGACACTCGCTCGTCACACGCGACACTCGCTCGTCACACGCGACACTCGCTCGTCACACGCGACACTCGCTCGTCACACGCGACACTTGCTCGTCACGCTATACACTCTGCGCGTGCTCATCACACACCAGCACCACACCGCACCAGCATGTCATCATTTCTGAGAGGACTGGCACTATTTATAAGGGTAGTATTTCAATTTCATGTTCCATTTCCAACCATTTAGCATGCAGATATTCATATCCTCTAAGCTATTCACTGTCATCAATGTTGAATAAAAAACTGTTGATGCCATCACCGTGTTGATGTCATCACCGCGTTGATGCCATCACCGTGTTGATGTCATCACCGTGTTGATGCCATCACCGTGTTGATGCTATTGGTTGAAATTTGTTGATGCAGGAAGCTTTACTCTGATCGATGATTGCGGGAATCCTGCGGAGGAATCCTACATGCATGCGGATATATTTTCGGATACGATTAACATTCATGCCCGTGGTATGTTTTAAATTTATAGAAAAATACATGTAAACTCGTAAATTTGTGTCTCTATATAGTAGGACACTCGCTGATATAGAGTTTTAGACAGAGTAGATATAGAGTTGTAGTCTTGATTAAAATTGACTTGAAATATCATAAATGCCCTAGGAAAATTTATAGTAAAAAGTTTATGGTGTGAAGCTATAAAATGAGTTCTGGTTGACAACCATACTATTGTAGAGAAATTGTGTATTTCGTTGTCCAGTAATACATAAGTTTTAAGCGAAAATATCTTGTGTACGAAGTTTTCAATCAAACGAACGGAGGTAATATTTTTCCAAAGACGGAAATCGGTACGCTAAACACGTATGTTCTCGACACGGTTTTATACAGATTTATCTTGAAGCTACATTTTGTGTATGATTCATACACGCCAATTTACCCATTTTTACATTTACTACTATAATGTTTGTGCTCATGCATTTGTTCTTGTATCTATTATTAAGCAATCTTTCATTTTCCGTTTTTAGAAATTTTTCAAGTATTTATCATAATCATTTACCTTCATTATGATTAGTAGGATTCCAATATCATAAGTTTTTTCACACTAATTAATTAAGCTACTGATTTTGAAAATGCCTTCCTCTTGACGAAACACTTGACCTAGCTTAATTAGCTCTTTATCGTCTCCCATCGGGCAATGCTATTACCAAAGGTCATATTAACCTGGGGTTAAAATATGATTTATGGTCTCTTCCTCTTAATTATTCTGTGATAAAAAAATTCAGTGATATATAATGAATACTAATGATTGAAGAACAATTAAGAGTGTGTCAATTTGTTTCTGAGACCTAAAGACATGAACATGGCATGAACACTCAAATGTAAAAAATGTTAGCGCTCGAGGCATATATAACATGTGTATATATATAGGCATGCGTATATATAGGTTTATATAGTCAATTAAGTTAGGCGCTCTAATCATTGTTCAAAAGTTTTCTTTAAGATCCACGTGTTTAATTTGACAGTTAACAAATGTTTTATTCTTCGTTGTAGCTAGTCAATGTTAAAAAAAATCGGCTGGCTTCTGTCTGCGAATTAATAACTTGGCAATCCATTGAAGGTCACGTGTTGGTATAAATATGGTCACAGACTCTAAAAACAACCTGTGGCAATAGAGGGTAGAAAAAAACCCCTCCCGTTAAAAATATATACCTATATACATTATACTAGGCCCCCAACTTGTTCCATAGTCATTCAGAACCTATTATAACGTAATGAAGTAAAAAAGTGACCACCAGATATTTCCTTCCTGGTAAAGTTCATTTTGCGTTTTTTGCACTTTTGTTTAAATTTTGAACTCTTTTTTGGTCATTTTTGTCATATCAATGCTAGATAAATATACTGTACTTCACAGAGATTTTCGTAACTATTTTATGTTAGCCCAACCTTAACTGTAACTTTAACATAAATTTTAACTTTGCTTTTAATTTAATTTACACACTGTATTTTCTGAAAGTAAAATTTAAAATAACCCATATCAGGCTTAAAAAATTTATTAAAATTATATATAGATACAATGTGTTTTTGGGACTATAATTTCATGTTCGATATTATTTTTGGCATAACCCAACTCAAAAGTCCATAGAACCAGTTTTAAAAATATTAGTTACGGTATTACTATGAAAATCATGCGGTCAAGTGTGTGAAATGAAGGAAGCCAACAGACTTTTGTCTGTTTAGTCATGTTGCCAGTTGATATTTGAGCTCCTCAAATAAACTCAAACCTTTATAATAATCTTAACAAAAAAGGCTGACAATAAAGAAAGTAGATGAAACCCTCAAGGTATATATTTTTTAGACAAAATTTGCTCAGAAAATTTTTACATGTAGGTTTTTTTTCTATAATAGAGTACGTGGGTTTTTAATCGCATATGTGTTTTTTTTCAATATCGAAAAATTTAACTTCCTAACTAGTAATTAGTAACTAGTAACTACTTAATTGTAACTAGTGGCGTTACAATTAAGGCTGGCAATTTTTGAGCACGCTAGTAGTACTTTTAAGGTTTGGTTCAAATTTCACAGTTCTAATTGAAATTCTTCAAGAGATATGGGGAAAACTAAAAAATGTTTTCTTGAGTCCGAGACTAGATTTTATTTAAAGATTTTATATTACGGGCACATTAAAGTTATTGTGCTCCGGAGTCAAGATGCATGCATGTTAACCATGCATGCCATTTATGTGCGCGGATGAAGGTATATACAGTATGTTATTGTTGTTGAGTGCTGTAATCGAATTATGGAGTGAACTTCTTGAATGTAGTGGAGCTGCATATATATGCATGTACAGCATGTATATCAATAGGCTTCATAACCTTGCTGGTCGTTGTAGTTTTCAGCTGTTCACGAGACCATATATATATCACCTTGTAGCAACATAGCAACATGATGGCATGATGATCGATGCTTCTTAAAGTGCAAGGTCAGCCGACTTTCATGCGATTGATTTAGCGATCCAGCGAAGTTGTTTATTTAGTAAAGTTGCTTCTACAAATAAGCCCGCAGTATATGCATGTTTGACGAGGGCAGTGTTTTTATATGAATGTATGGTATTTACCGCATAGCTAGTGAAGTTCTTGATAAATAATTTTTAGTGGTCGAAGAGTAGGAGCGATTATGGGGTGATTGTAGACTCTCTTCTTTGGTTAATTTTTCTGTGTTTACACAGTGATATTTACGGCTTATTTATTAGCGTCAATTCACATCGAGCATTCCCATAAATGGATTGCAAATTATTATATTTAATTTGATAGCGATGATATATCGTGTGATCTTTCAAACATTTAATGAATTAGTGCCGCGAAATTATAAGGCTTGATTATACTGCTAAGTGCACAGAAAATTTTCACGGAACCACCTTGCAATGAAAGGTCGGATGCTCGAATCAAATAACATTGAATACTGCTCTAAATAAGAGTGACTCAAATTTTAGATGACTGAGTTAGATCAAACAAAATAATTATAATGAAGCACGCTACCAAAATTTTATGCGGGCCAGACTCTGAAATAGGTGCCGCCTAGGACTCGGCCGGAGTGCACGTAAATCAGCCGCTGTATATATGTCCGCTTTGGCTCAGGGTTTGGAGGGGAGCTTGCAGGCTCGTTAGTTATACCTACTCGGCCAGCGGTCAACTCTTCTCATACTCTCAGGTGACTTTATAAAGTAAAGAAGATTACTGCATAAAATAAACTGATATCGATGGGATGGCCAATCAGGCCTGCAGAATAACTTTGAGTCGAGTACAGTGATTATTTTGCCGAAATCTATAGGCGGTCATCAAATTTTGATGGGGTAAATACAACAGCACTAACACTATACTTATTAGAAAAAATCTGTATTTAATATGCTATACCCGCAATAAGCTGTTTACTGTATTATATAAGCTATATGTTTGATGTACGTAATGAGATAGTATTAAATGTACGCATGATAACTAATAAGATATTATTAATTGTACTTATAAGTTAACTATAATATTACATTTAAAGTTTCGTTGAGTACCTTACAACTTATGCAATCAAAAATCTGCGGACTAGATATGCTATAGATTTATTAGGCTGTATGCATGTACCTAATAAACTTTTTTAATGAGCTGCTGACTTGATTAGACATATTAGTTGAATATCCGTTTTAAGTGAAAAATTTTTATTGTTCTTAACTTCCATTTATTATTGCCGCTAGAATTGTGTTAGGTGCTGTTTGATCAATATCAGAGCTACAGCTGGAATTTCTTTTACGACCTTTATTGACACTATACGCATATAGGCATAATACAAAAGTTCATCGCAAACAATCAACCAATAAGTACATTGGTAGTTGCATCAATCATGCCTAACTTTTAACCAATTAACAAATAATATAAAAATAAGCAAAGAGGATACCAATTGTGTTGCTGTTCATGAATTGATTTTATGGATCTGGTCTCCGAAGCGTTTTCTTTGGAAATATGATGAATTTACTTGGCAACTTCTTGTTTTTAAGTTCTTGGTGAACTTACGATTTTATCAGTGATGATATAGTATTTATCCAATTAAACATACTCTACTCGATCGCGTGTCCGGAAAGGATGCTCCTCCAAATTCGTACAGCATGCTATATTAAATTATCAGTTTACATAATTTTCTTAAAATTTTCATAACCTTGGATTCAGACAATGCGTTATATGATTAATATGCTGAATGTGACTCTCGAAGCCATGTATAAATTTCAGCTGAACGTTGTTATTGACAATTTTGTTGGAAAGAATCAGTTTAAACCATTTACTTCAGTTAAATTTGTGTGGTGCGAAAGAGGCTTAATGCAAAAAATTTGAGCAAGGGATAAATATAATTTTTTTGCAGAAATTAATAAAAAAAAACGTTAAAATGTGAATTCGTGTGCGGCAGCTAGGCTAATGGTTAAAATATCTATTTGTTCCATGGAGAATATTACTAATTAACATATAGTTGGCGAACCCCTGCCTATATATAATGCGGCATAGTACTCGATAAACTGGGCACTTTAATAAGCAATGCACTAATAATTAGGCTGCGTAGTTAATAAGTTAGGTACATAATAAACTGATATGTATATTTAAAAATCTGTGCTCTCCATGCAAAAGCTCTTAATTAACTGCATATGACAGCCGATAATTACGTTTCCATGTAGATGCTTACTTCTAATAAGATTGGAGTGCATACATGCATACTATACAACTATAGTTATAGCTTCTACATATGAACACTGTGGAAAATATTCGATTAGTTTTACACATGCAGTCTTTAATCATCCCATAATGATTTGTATATGATAAAATTTCGATTTTGAGAATATTCAAGGCTCGCATAACATTGGCCAACATTTTTTGCACTTTAATTTACATTTTTCATTAAAGAGT